GTGACATTATAGGAATACGACAGTCCTAGCACACTGTAGAACACATTTAAACCACATACATTACTATAATATATTATAGCACTAAATTTGATGTAGTAATGCAACACACTGCTCTAATATAAGCATATTTAATAACTTTAAGTTCTACAAGAAGCCCTAATCTCGAGTTGTGATATCTATTTTAAAGTGGTTTATTGAAAGCTAGAATTCTTCTCCAGCTTACCTTGAAGAAAATATGAAGCTGTTTATGCTTTGAATGATGATCTATTATGTTCAGTAGAATACATTTTACAATCGATACTTTTTATTTTTATGTGAACATGTACATGCATCTATAACCCGGTGTATCTGGCTTCTATAGCAACTAATTAAAAATAAATTTTCAATAAAACTGTATGGTCAATCACTGAAAAAATGAACAGCAAACTTGTACAACATGTATAATAGCATTTTTAATAAAGCATTTTACAAACATTATGTTTAGTCATAACATATGCGCAAATAAGCAGAATCAATAAATTTGAGCAATTTACTCAAGACCTAATGAAACTCTTTTGAATAACTTTATTTTGATTATTATTACAATAAAATGTGTCCGTGGGTTAAAATTTGAAATTACTAATTTTAGGGTTGGATAAAATTTCGAAATGCTATTTTACGTCTCTATATTTTTGGGTCTGTTCAATATTTCTATATGTACAAAAACTGTATTTTAATAATACCCTTATAGGTTGATTATTAGGGATGAGCGAGAACACCACTATCTGTATCTGTATCTGTTCAACCAACTAAATTATCTGTATCTGTACTCGGAAAGGGCGTTGCATAACCCAGAAGTGGGCATGGTTTAACCGGAAGTGGGTGTGGTTTACATCAATACATTATTTTAAGTCTGAAATTGATATGGAATGATCAGAAGTTGATACATGTATTGTTTATTTGAAAACTATTTACAGAGCAGCCTCAGAATTGAGATTAAATATTTTTGATCACAATAGTAAAGGAACTATTACAGAACAAGTGTTTCAATAAAATCAGAACATTAATATTTAAGTGCATGGATTAATACATCTGAACTCATGCAGTAGGAACTAGGATAACTAGGATAGGTGGCTGATACCGAAGTCAACACTCAAAAGGTGACAGCCCAGTTGCCAAGGAGGTGAGGCTGTTTTGCGCATACTCGATCCAGAGTAGTTGGGTACTCCAGCTGGACTGACTCAAAGAACACACACACCGTAAAATAGATTCCACTTCCTGATTAAGTTTCTCGCACTGGCCATTACTCTGTGGGTAGAACCCTGAGGTCAGTGCAACTCGAGCCCCTAGAACGGATGCAAACTTCTTCCAGGTTCTGGAAATGAATTAGGATCCACGGTCCGACATGATCTCCTCCGGGATGCCGAGGAGCCTGAAGATGTGCTTCTGTGCACTGTTTCAGACAAGGATGGGAGTGTCCTAAGGGGAAGTAAATAGCAAGCTTGGCGTTTCTTGCCAGAACTCGAGGAAATCCAGCATCACCCCTGAAAGACGGCTCACCTCTCTCTGGAGAATGTCGTCTCTCTCCTGCTGGCTCAAATTTTGTAAAGCTATCTAGAAGTTAATCAGGAACATATGTTTACATGACTAGATTCATTTGTCAGGTGAGTTAATTAGGCTGAGTAATTTGAAACTAGATGTTATTGCATGATAATGACTAATCAATGGCATTAGCTTGTTTGCAAGCTTTATCCTAAATAATAGCTATAATTGGCCTAAAACCATCATCACCAGCAGCCACAAAGCCTTATGCTAATGAAGTAGAATCATGTTACTTTTCAGCTTGCTAGTCACAAAACTGGCTGATGTATTTGTCAGAGGATGGTACACTTGCTTTACATTACCAGTGTCACGCTAAATAAAAATGCTAATGTTGTCATGAAATTTTACAAATGTAGACTAAAGTAACATTTTACCTTGTTTCTCAAATATCGAGCAGCGTTCTGGCCGTACATTACTGTGAAGCATTTTCTTTTTCTAGTGAAGAGTTTGTGCGCACTCTTGTGCTGAGCTTCAGTTACTCGTAGTGCCGAACGTGTCGCTCGTGAGTTCTATTTCTTCATCCTGCCCCATGCTCCTTTAAGTCCAATTTGGAAAAAAACTGAGGCGTTTTGACCTGGCTCGAAAGTTTAAGGGCAAAGGGTGCTTGTTTTTAATAGTTATTTGATTTAACCCACAGTAGTCAATATAGGGTCTTAGTTTCCTATCTTTTTTACCAACAAAAAAAAAAAAAATCCAGCCCCTAGGGGAGATGTTGAGGGTCAAATGATACCTGACTCAAAGGACTCAGAGATGTACTTCTGCATGCTGTCTCTATGGTTTCGACAGGTGGTACAGGCGGCTGGAAGGCAAGGTAGCCCCAGGCAGAAGGTCTATGCCGCAGTCAAAAGGTCTGTGAGGAGGAAGAGAGGCAGCTTTGTCCTTATTAAAAACCTGATGCAGGTCATGGTACTCAGCGGGGACAGAGGTCGGATCAGGAGAAGGAACGGGGACAACTCCTGAGTTCTTGGGCTGAACTGGGGCTGACAAGAGGCAATTCAAAAGACGGGAAGGACTCTAAGTCTCGACACTGCTGGTCCTCCAGTTAATGCGGGGGTTGTGGTGTTTAAACCATGCGTGACTGAGGACGACAGGGGACTGAGAGGGAAAAACAAAGAAAGGTGTATGTTCATGGTGGTTACCCGACACCTCGAGGTGGAGGAGGACACCAGGTTACGTTCACAATCTGAGTCGATCAGTGCATGGGTGGTAATAGACTGCTGAGAAAAAGAGAGTGATGGGGATGGTGCACCGGGAACTATTATGACTGGAACTACCCACCAGTATTCTCAGAGCTACTGGTGGGCCCCCTCTTTTGGCTGGTGGGGACAGTTCGATACCAAGTGACCAGGCTGACCACAGAATAAACAAAGTCCAAACCTCATCCTCTGTTGCCTCTCCTCTGGTGTGAGTTGGGTCCTACCAAGCTGCATGGGCTTCTCCTTGCTGGAATCTTGGGGGTTAGCCTGTGGTGGAAAACTGTGGGCAGGTTTAGGAGAAACAAGTGAGAGGTAGGTATGAATACCTTTTGTCATTTTCCGCTGAAGAAAAAAAGAGCAAGTCACCCCCAAATCAACTTTTTTCAGCTGATAAACTAAATAAACGAGTGTCTAATCGTGCTGCAGACACGTGTATTCAATACTTTGGCACTTCAGTGCATCTTAGTTATAGGCAGAATATTTAAATTTTAACTCAGTGTTGTTGTCAGGAAAAAAAGACTCTGCACTGTATTTGAATTTAAATCTGCCACCGCTATTGGCTAACAGGTATTCCACGATAAAAACTGGTACATTATGATTTAACAATGCTGCCGTGAGCCTGTGTGTGTGTGTATTTGTTAGCGGCTCCGCCCTCTTGGTCTGCCTGGCAACAGCATTTGTTGCATTTTTCAAACATGAAGTGGGAGTAGAGTTCGACTCTGGTAGGGGGTGACTTGCTCTTTAAGGTACAAATAAAATTGGGGGGCAGGTTGCCACAGGAATGCGGAAATGGGGTCCATACCCGCACCCCCTGACTTGCCCACCCCCCAAGGTTGTATTTGCATGATTGTGTGATGATGTGAGGGAGCAGGAGGAGAAAAATGTGTGGGGATGGGGAGGAATGGCTGGTTGGGCTTAAGCCCTCCAGGAAGCCAGCTCCTCCACTGGCCCCAATAGGCACCTCTGTTGCCAAAATGCCACCCAGGGCATGGAGACCCCAGCCCATCTTCCCAGGGCCCAAAGCAGCAACATCACAGAGCCTTACGGAGTCAAGGGCACCAACCCAACCCCACCCCAACAGAATATCTACTCCCATCCCTGCATTTGCACAACTTCCAGAATATATAAGACATAGGGCATCCAGGTAAGGTTGGGTCCTCCTCCCCCTCCTGGACATCCCCCTCCCCTGTGATGGGACAGCAGAGGAGCCAAGGACTACCCGAGGCCCCTGAGCCTGGGCCAGGCACTTCTGCATGTTCCAGCCTTCTTCCCGGCAGCATACATGTCAGGACCCGACCCCCAAGGCCCCGCCCAGATCCCCACACGGGGCCGGCCACCCCCACACCCCGAGCCCCCAGGCCCCCACCCAGACCCGCTCAGGGGCAATGCAGCTGCCAGGCAGCGACCCATGGCCAGTGCCAAGACCCCCAAAGGGCTCCACTCAAACCACTAGTAGTCCACCCCCCGATGCAACCCAAGCACTTCCAGAGGTTGGGCAGCCTCCCCCCAGTCCCAGACGCCCCAGTGAACCCACCTCCAAGGAACATCCGGATACTCCAAACTCAGACCCTCCACCCCATCACCCACATCCTCCCACAGGGCAATATCAATGGTCCCCCATCATCGCTATGTGATGGAACCGGTCAAAGGAGCCCAGAGAATTGATTTGAAGTGGAAGCAGAGGCTATATCAAGTGTAATATGATCTAACAAAAGATTTCTATACTGGCTAATGCAGAGTATCTCTATTTTTCCAATTCATGAGGATAGTTTTCTTAGCGATGTATATGGCAGTCAGAACCACGCGAACTAAAGATGTTTCAATCGGGACATCGTCCAGGTTTCCCAGTAAACAAAGAGAGGGGGAAGTTGGGGTATGACATTTCAGACACTTTGACAGAACCTCACATACACTACCCCAAAATTCCTGGACAGGTGGACAGGACCACAGTGCATGAATGTAATTGTCGGGAAATTGTTTTTGCAGTGTGTACAGGTGTCAGACGACACAAACCCCATCTTGAACATCCGATGACCTGTATAGTGTACTCTGTGTAGAATTTTGTACTGAATTAATTGTAAATTGGGGTGTCTGACCATTTTAAAAGTTTTAAAACAAGTTTGGGACCAGAAGTTCTGGTCAAAGCTGACTGATAGATCCACCTCCCATTTTTCAATAGGGATTGCTATTTTATCGTCTATTTTGGACAGTGTCTTATATACTTCAGACAGTAGTTTGGGGTGTTTGAGATTATAGAAGTCTAATACCCTTGGTGGTGTTTGTAATTCTATTTTATTTAGCTTAAATTTTGGTTTGACTACAGATTATCCTGTCCGTTTCAAAAATATTCCCTTGATGATGTTATTGTTATTGCACAATATGTGGCATGGTGATAATCCGTTACACCGTTTGAGCAGCTTGAGCATGGAGTTGTGTCAGTGTATTAGGGAGGGAAAAAAGGATTGTGCAGCAGCCACAGACTCATACTAATACATATCTGATACATGATCTGCGGGCCAAATATAAAGATTTGAGAGACTGTTTTTGACACTCGTGATCTAAATGGTATCAAACTTTGTCTTAGCAGGCTACATCTTTCTGCTGAATGCCTTTAACATTTACATTTGACCCAACCTTTCCCCTTCCAAACTGAAAAATAATGGTCAGACTGTTTTTTACAATGCCATTTATTATCATATTTAAGCTTAATAAGAAAAGCACACAAATGAAACACATTGTTGTGCATTACAGAGCTCATGGTGGACTTTTATGAGGATCCGGGCCTCAGAATCATTTTGCCCTGGGCATGAACAATCCATGCTCATTAGATTGATGGGCATGGTTGAAGATCTCAGTGGGCAGCACAAACACATATGAATGCATAGCCATTAAATAAACAGTATGTAATAGTTTAAATATCGAGACACATTTTAAAATCTATATAAATAGTGACCATTTAACTACATTACTCTACCTTGGCTTGACAGAGCAGTCTTTTGAGGTGTTTATAGATCTCTTTCATTTTTATTCCATATATGATTGGATTGCCAAGAGGATTGTACATAATCATTTGTACTGTCATAACAAAACGTGAGGTATTTGAAATATCAGAATCCAGTCTAACTATAGTTATTTCAAAGATAAGCAAGCAAGAATAGTTTATTAAGACCAGCAGGTGAGGTAAACAGGTGTTCGCAACCTTCTTCCGGACTTGACCACAACTTTTATAAGTTGTTATGAATATCATTGTGTATGTAAAGAGTATAAAAAGCAAAGGAAGCAAGTTAATATTGAACAGAATAACTAAACCAAACATTAACAGTGCTCTGGAAGTCACACATAAAAGATGGTTAATTGAGTTGTTGCAGAATATACCTTTCAAAGTAAAGCTACACAGCTGGGTTTGAGCATTTTCTATGACTGGTACAGCTGTGTGACAAACAGGTAAAAGCCAGGATAAAACCAGCAAAATGATCACAGTGGTTTTTCTCATGATTGTTGGATAATGCAGAGGTTTACATATGGACACATATCTGTCATAGGCCATGGCTGCCAACAGCAAGAACTCTGAACTGTATAGAGAATAAAAAACACAAACCTGAAAGAGACAGGCTTGATAAGATATGATCTGTTTATCAGATAGAAAGTCAATCAGGAGTTTTGGATAGACCACCGTGCTGAAAAGAACAGAGTTGATCAACAGAGCAGCAATAAATACATACATCGGCTCATGAAGGTCTTTGTGAACCACAATGAGATAAACAATGGTAGAATTGCTGCACAAAATTAAAATATATGCTATAAGCATGATGACAAAATAAAGGAACCGGTATTTTTCCACCTCCAAATGACCACCAAGAGTAATGTATGTTACATTCATCTCAGAATTCTAAAGAACAGGTAAAAAATTAAAACTTGATAAAACCAGCAGATAGTTTACCAGGAGCGCACACAAGGACTCCAGATACCTACATTTGTTTAGTGAGTGTGGTGTGTTCAGCTGAAGACTGGAGACCAACTATTTAAAGAGTTCTCTAACCACCATGGATCTCATTACGGGTTCTGTGTGGAGAAAACAATAACAACAACGAATTGACAGATTTGGTTAAGGAACAATTTCTTTACTTGACTGATTGACAAAAAGAGAAAAAAAACACACCGCTCATCTGTATGAAGGTGCTGGATAAAGCGTTGAGTTCATTTAGGGGGAAAACTCCACACACTTCTATCTGCAAGTGTAAATATTTATTGATCAAGCTTTCGGTCAGAGTCACTCCTGATGAAGGTCTCTGACTGAAAGCTTGATCAATAAACATTTATTCTTGCAGATAGAAAAGTGCAGATGTTTTTCATGCATTCTTTTGTAAAAGGCGCATAAAAAAATCAAGAAATTTTCAGCAGAGTTCTAAATGAATATAACATTTATTTAGAACAGAATTACATGCCCTAACAACTATACAGGATGCTGGAGAGACTTTTTACTACATGTCTCCATAACAGGGTTGTCACGGTAACTGGTGTAGCGTTAAACCCCGGTAAAAAAGTTGACAATAATAATAACCATCTTGTTTAAAAAAAAAAAAAAAATATCGGTGGATTACCGTGGCTGCGGTGTCGGCACGGTGACCCTTAAGGTTGGTTTATGCTTGACGCCTCCGCGAGGTCCGAACGGCTCCGCGCGGAAAAGTTGCATCATTTTGCGTCGTTTACACCACAAAATCTCAAGTAACCACCAACGGGGAGAGAACACACGTTGCCTCTGCAACTACAAACATTTCTCTCCCCCTTGCTGGTTACTTGAGATTTTGTGGTGTAAACCAGCTTGTCTACTTCTTAAGAAGTGACTTTAGAACATTTTGAGTGTTTGGGATTATTTTACTTAACTGGTAAATCTTTGGTTTTTGGTATGTCTGCTAGACCATCTTGTGGATAAATTACCAGGTGGGGATTTCTCCCCCTTTGATGTCTATTTTTGTTAGTGGTTTTGGTTGGTTTGACTTCCAGACAAACCTTTATGTTTGAACTAACATGGTGGTTTTTTTTTTCCCCTTTTGAGTTTCATTCCCTTTTAAATAAAGGAGGGTTTATTTTGGATTTAGAGTGGTTGGTCCTCTGGTCATTTTCAGTTAATTAAGGTTAACTTAGTTAATTTCTAGGTAAGGGTTTTTTGGCCCTTCTTTTGGTTCTTCTTTTTTTTTGGCAATAAACCCTTTGAAAATACAAGGACACTTTGAGTTTGGTTTTGCTTGGTTAAGCCTTTTTCTCCCCAACGAGGGTCACTTTTTGTTATACTGGTCCATCTTATGTTTATTCCCCTCTCCTCCCTAGCTGAGCCCACAGAGGGGTGTAACATAAATGGGGGGTCGTCCGGGATTATTTATTTTAACAGCAGACCGTGAAGGAATGTGCAATCCCTGGTGGTGGTATTTTAATGGTGTTTTATTTGTTTCAAGGTTTTAAACAGATGGCTTTGTGGATGACTGGCGGGTGCTTCTGGAGGCCCAGCTCCCGCTGGAGGATCCACTGCTGGATGGGCTCTCAGAAGCTTTGAGCCTGATCAAGCCCAAGGAGAGGAGGATAAAAGACGTTGATCCAGAGATCACCCCCCACAGGCAGGCTCAGGTGTTGCACCTAGCGGGTTAGCGTTGGTGGTTTACTCCACCATCTCGGGAGCACCCCAGGAAGGGCAGGGGCTAAACCCCCTCCCTTTGCTGGTCGGAATGTGCAACAGCACATGTGCTTAGTCTGCCCGCCTGCGAAGTGCATGAAGAGTAGGGATTTTAGATAGCCTGTTTTATTTTATTGGGGGTCTCTCTTGTTTTTATGTGATCCTAGCTGTTAAAGAAAAAGTTTTAAAAGTTACTATTGTGTCCTTTACTAACTTTTGTCCTTTTTATTTTGTTTATGTGTGGGGGTGTCACGGCTGCCAGCCTGAAGAGGGAAAAAGCAGCCAGGATCACCCAGCTCTGGTGATTGACTGGACACCGCCCCTCCTCCTCCTCTCTTCCAGGCTGCTGAGGAGCACAGCTGAACTGAATCCTCCTGATGAGCCACACCTAGGATAAAAAGGCTGTGCCTTCAGCAGTCTGGGAGGCAGCAGTGCAGGGGTTCTGCTGTCCTTCAGGTCTTGTTTGGTTTAACCCCGTCGTTGTGATGAGTTTTAACTTATAGTTTTAACTCTGAGTGATCCACATGGATCTTTTGTGCATGTCACCTAGTGTTGACTGTGTTTTAAGGTTAACTCGGATTTAGTTTTTAGACTTTTATCAACGTCGTTGTGTTTTTAAAACACCTTCAGTTTAGGTAAAACTTTTAATAAAGTTTTAACCAGGTGTTTTATATAGTTGATAATTTGTCTTTTAACTGTTAACCTTATAGTGAATTATTCGTTTTGCATTATTTTAATAATGCTCGCCATCTGTTTGCTCTTGTTTTTAGAACCTTTTATCACAATTAAACCCATTTTAAATGCCACAGTCGTATTTCTTATGTTACCCCCTCCTTCACATTTTAACATCTCCTGTCGGGGACGTAACATCCCTCAAAGAAGACAAAGTGGGAAGTATGGGCATTTCTTGGATATTTGAAGAATGCTGAGGGACAGTTGATAGAAGACGGCTATGCTGTTTGCAGCACGTGCAGAAAAAGTGTCTGTGAAAGGCAGCAACGCTTCACATCTCATGACACATCTGCGTGACCTTCGCCCACAACTCTACAGTCAACGCAAGGCAAGCTAACGGTAGCGTTTTAGCTAAAATGTGTGATCCGAGGATTTGGGTTGAGGGAGAACGCAACGAGTCGCTATATAAAGCAGCCGCAGTGACCGCTACCTGCATATAAACCGTGTCGCGGACAGGTAAGAGTTGGTCTCTCTCCGAGAATAATTATGAATTTAACAATGACTACTGCCTGATGACATTTTCCCAAATCTGCAAAGCTCACTGGAAGGACACAAACCGAGGACAATATTTTCCTGATATAGGGTTTAGTACTCAAGTAAGGGTTAAAAAAGTATCTGATTAGAAGGCTACTTGAGTACTGAGCATCATCTGATCTAATATTTTTTAAAAGATGACATCAAACAGACAAAAAAATAAGAAGTTATGGGAAAATATTGGTATTTTAAAGACTAAAGGGAAAATGTAAACAAATAAACAACAATTACAAAATAACACATTTTAGGCAAAATTTTGATACAAACTGAGGACAATATTTTCCTGATATACAGGGTTTATTTAGTTGTCTGAAAATGTAACACGTTTGAAAAAATACCGCAATAATACTGAAAACCGTGATAATTTTGGTCACAATAGCCATGAGGTTAAATTTTCACACCGTGACAACCCTACTCTATAATTAATTTATTTCGTGTGAATACATACATAACTAGATTGATTGCATTTCTTGCAGAAATGCTGTTTTGAATTCTGAAACCGATAGCTGAAGCTGCTGAATGGCTGAAGTGAAGCTGAAACTTTGCTGAATTGCCAAAGTGAGCTGAATGTATGTGAAGATTAAGAAGCAAGAACCACTAACAAGTGTAATAACGCCCCAAAAGCAAGTGAAAGGGGGGGGGGGGGGGGGATTCCTAAACAGCAGAAAATCAACATATCTGAACATAGTTTGAAATACTGGACAGCTGAAATGTTGAAATAGCTGACATTTGAGTACAAATAGTTCAATAGTTGCATTTCCACAATTAGCTTGACTGTGTTGAATTCTGAAAATAATAGCTGAAGTGAAGCTGAAATTAAGCTAAATGCTCAAAATGAGCTGCATGTATTTAAAGATTTAGAAGCAAAATTCTTTAACAAGTGTAATAAAGTCCAAACAGTAAGTGAAGAATTGAGGATAAAAAACTTAAACTACAGAAAACTGAAATCTTTGACCATAAAAACTGGACAGCTGAAATGTTTAAACAGCTGGTGTTTGAGTAGGAAAAGTTTTAAAAAGTTAGGAAATTAGTTACATTTTCACAATTAGCTGAACTGTGAATTAAGCATTATATGCTCTGTACCCTGGAGGATGCATGGGAGTTCGCCCAACCAATCTACATGTATTTTGTGGATTTGGAGAAGGCGTTGGGAGGCCCTGTGGTGGGTACTTTAGGAGTATGGGATACCAGACCCTCTGTTACTAGCTGTTATGACCCCGTATGACCGGTGTCAGTGCTTGGTTTGCATTGCCAGCAGAAAGTCGGGCTCAATCCCAGTGAGAGTTGGACTTTACCAAGGCTGCCCTTTGTAACGATTCTGTTCGTAACTTTTATGGACAAGATTTGTAGGTGCAGGATCCATTTTAGTGGCCTGATGATTGGGTCTCTGCTTTTTTCAGATGATGTGGTCCTGTTGGCCTCATTAGAATGTGATCTCCGGCTTTTGCAGGTGTGGTTCACAGCCGAGTGTGAAGCAACTGGGATGACAATAAGCTCTTTTAATTTGAGACCATGGTCTTGAGTCGGAATAGAGTAGAATGCCTTCTCCGATTCAGGGATGAGATCCTGCTCCAAGTGGAGGAATTTAAGTATCTCGGGGTCTTGTTCACGAGTAAGGGAAAGGTGAAGAACGAGATCGACGGGCGGATTGGTGCTGCGTCTGAAGTGATGCGGGCGTTGTACCGATCTGTCGTACTGAAAAGAGAGCTGGTGAGACAGTTGGTTGTCCAGAAGGGGCTTGGAGTAGATCCGCTGCTCCTCCACTTGAGAGGAGCCAGTTGAGGTGGCCTGTGCATCTGATGCCTCCGGAACGCCTCCCTGGCGAGGTTTTCTGGGCACGTCCAACCTGGGGGAGACCTAAAAAGAGACCCAGGACACGTTGGAAGGACTATTTCTCTCGCCTGGCCTGGGAACGCCTTGGGATTTTTCCCGTGTAGCTTACCAAAAGGCCAAATATTTAATCAAAATGACCAAAAGTGAACTTTTAA